ATCGGTTAAAAATAATAATTAGTTCGTACATGAAGAATATTGAATATTTTTTGAAAAAAAAGTGCAATATTGTTGTGTTTTTACCAACGCTTGCAAACGATATAATAACGTTGTGATTATAACGTTATATTTGATAAAAAACGATTGAAATTTGTAAACGTAATTATAACGGAAAACGGTAAAAATAAATAAATAAATAACACAAAACAAAACGTAAGATTTAACAAAATATATGATATATCATTAAACAAAATATAACGCAAAACGGTACTACATATTGTATTCCATTAAACGAACTAATTAATTTCCAATTATTTAATAATACTTAGTAATATTCAATTATTTATTCAATCCAATAATTAATTTTATTCCGTATCCGGCCTATCCGGGGATCCCGTATTAAATATTATTTTAAAATTTAATAAGAAAGTCTTAATAGAATAATTGAATTACCAATAGCTAATAATAGTGATACCCTGATAATATTATACTGTACTATCTGTACTACGGTCGAAATTTATACCATTCAAGTTATTCAACTATTGTGTTCGGTGTTCAGTTTGCTCAGATTTGTTCAGTTGTCACTCGTCAGTGTTTGTCTAATTGTTGTCAAATGTTTAATATTTATATTTTATACTAATATACTTATAGTTTTAACGTGCATACGTTTTTTTTATATTAGTTATTTCATAGTTGAAATTCAAAATTTCAAAATAATAATCATGGTTTTTTTTTATATTTATTATTTTAGTATAAAGTCCTTAGAGCCTAAGCAATTTATTAAATTTAATAATACATTATTATTTATTACTCTTAAGATTAATTATTATCATACTCTTTTATAATTTATTATGTTTCCATTTCTTTACAAACTACCTATGTATTGTAATTTAATCTGTATCGCTGTACCCTATATTTTGTAAATAATATGTAATTGGATTATCTAACCCATTTAATTAAATAAATAAAATAAAATAAATAAAATTATACAAAACCTACTTAAAACTCAGAATAGGGAAATTATGTCCCCAAAAAAAGGTCATAGTCACTTTTAAATTGCGGCTTGTATACTTTTAAAACAGGTATCTAAATGCTTTTGAATTTTAAATAACTTTAAACGCAAAACTGATACAATGTTTTAATTATGAATAACGATAAACGCAAAAATTATATAACGTTTTAATTCTGAATAACAATAAACATAAAAATTGAATAATGTTTAAATTTTGACGCAAGAGGTATAAATGTATTTTGTTTCTATTGTTTCAAAATATTTTTCTATTTTGCAATTATGTATTTTAAAAAATTATTAATTACTAATACATAATATTATTAGTCTATATATCAAAGATGTTCAAAAATATTTTAAGTATTGGATTTACGATAAAAAAGGTTTTTAATACGTATCTACTAGAATCAGCTGAAGGTATTAAATTTTTCCACTATGTACTCTAAATTAAGTTTTTACTGAAATTACAAATTTTACATCCAAAAAATACTCATATTTGGAAGTTTATGTCTAAATTACATGATTTTTCTCTATACATGAGTTCAATGCATTAAAATAAAAATATTTCAGAATACTAATATATATTTAAATTATCGAATTTACATTATTTTCAAATACATTGAAAAGATTATTAAACTCACCGTGTCATAAATTATAGTTTAAGAATACAATCTAATTATTCTTGCATTCATTTTACACTCAAATGGTATCATGGTTATATATAAAAAAAAAACAATCAAAACTTGAAACCTACTTTTAAGATTTATAGTTAGCTCCTCAAGTTTTTAAACATAATGTATTTTTAAAAAAAAGTGAAAACCTATATTTATTTTTACTTTTCTGCATAAAACTATAATTTATTATATATAAAATACAGATATAAACTTTAAATCATATAATTCTTAAAATAATTAAGATTTTTAATATTAACTTGACATTATTTTTTAATTTATTATACAATTGTCTTAAAAAAAATTGTAAGCTGACATTTCTTGAATTAAGAGTTTTTATAGAAACAATAATTGTAATTTATTTTTCATTGACAAAGCATTACTGACTACTTATTTTTTCTCTCTAAAGATATTGCCTTATATTAGAATGTAACTGATCAAATAAAATAGTTCTTCTTAATTTTGCAAAAAAAAGTCTAATAATCTCAAATAATCCTAAATAATTTACTTAATACTCGTATTAATCATGTATTATAACCATAATCATCTACACAATTTCATGTAAATATATTAAAAAATGTTCAAACAATATTAAAAATATTAAAAACCGAAGAAATTATCGTGGATGTCTGTTTTTGTATTGTAGACTAATTAAATTATTTTCCACATATAAACAATAAGCGATTAATTTATAAATAGATATCAAGACTGAATAATCTAGGTATATATATTTCACGGTTATCTAGTGTCCTGCTTAATAGTATGAAGGCAGAATGTACTTCTGACAGTTCCCATCCGGTTATTGTCATTTTAAAATATACAAGGTCAAATTTTAGACGTGGCCAAATTGGGCTCCTCAGAAATGTCTAAGGGCATAGAGTTAATGAATTGTATTGTGATTCTTCAAGCAAAATATTGTAATTTAATTAATACTTAAATACTATAAATATTATTTGGCTTAAATTTTTTAAATATTTTTAAATAACATATAAAAATAATTTGGAACATAGTTGATGTAATTTATCATGAGCATGCGATTACATTGTTTTCTTTATTGTAATTTCTGAATATTTAAGACCTTGAGTTCCGGATATTCAGTGTCATACAACCTTGAGTACATATACTTTAACCATGAAGCCATCTATGTACCTGGATGATGAATGAAATTTAATAAAAACAATTCCCAACATATACTTTATCGAATCATTAAACACTTTTGCCGACTGAAATTTTGCTCTTGTATTGTTTTAATATTATAAATGCATCACATAATTAACGATAAGTCCTCTTTTGCGCGTAGCCATTTAGTAGCAACTCCCAGAAAAGCTGCTGGTGGAAAAATATTAGGATGTATGGATGGTTTTACAAACGACCGCAGCCACTCACTGAAAGCACTACAGATGGTGTCAGCGGTTGACTTCGCCGCAGAACGTGGCGTCTAAAACTCGCGATTTTCGTAATAAAACATACTTTTTGATCGGCTCCGTTTCACGCGCAACTGCAATCGTGCGACTATTTTAGTGTTGCAATCGATGTGCGTTCGATCAAACGATTTCGACTATAATTATTCATTTCAATTGCATTCTTTATTTTCTTGGTAGCTCGATGTTCGTGGAACAGTTTTATCTCCATTAAGTATTTTCTATAACCAATGGACGCCTCCAGAATGTTCTTGATGTATTTCTGCATTTGTTTTTTTTAACCTTACCTAACAGCATAGCTGACAGAGTAAATCAGTTTCTAGGTCCATTTAAATACAGAAGAAGTATGCTTTCCTATTCAATAAAATGATTACCGATGCACGTCATTACCGTGCTGTTGGAAGCGTTACTGAGTAACTGCGCATGATATTCATGTAAATGATTGTAACATTCCATTTATAAAAATCATAATCGACATGTTGCCATCGAAAACGTATAGGAGCTTTTATCATTGTATTAATTTGAGTGTTATCATGTACTGATGATCTTGCAAAATTAGCTATATTTTGTTTGATGTAGGAAAATAAACCGAATCTAATGTTGAATAAAAATGTCAGTAAATTGAATAATCACATAATTATTTCCACTTACGAAGATGATGTTTCAATAATTGTTTTATAAAATTCACTGGGAAATGACTTACATACAAAGTTTATGTACATTTAGTATTGATATTAGATAATTTTGTTAATTAAGAAAAAAATCTACGAAAAATATATTCATGTACTATTCACGTATCACTGCTCTCATATAGCAGGTCTGCAATACGTTCTAGAGTGAAGCCATATTTTTAAATGATATTATAATGCCGTAGAAATTTAGTATAAAATATAGATTTGTTGTGACTTCTATAATATTATACGAGTAAACCGTGGTAATGAATATAACGAAATTGGTTTTGATTTATTCTCAAATCTATTTCGACGCTCTCAAGATGAGCATTTGTCGGAGCATAGGTTAAAGAGCTTAGTTCTACTATACTAAACATAATTGATTAGAAATATTCAACTACTTAGTATACTAAGAAACCGAGACGGTCCGTATTATTGGATTCAACTTGTTTTATAATTTAAACGATCAAAAGTACTTACGTACGCAATACGGTTCGTAGATTTCCGTGATTGTACATTATACGTCATATATCCTAATGATTACATCTGAGAAACCATATACCCAAAATTTGACTCACGATATTACATTAGGTATCTACTGTTAGAGTATTTCGGTAAACATATAAAATTAAATGATTTGTAAATAATACAATTTTTTATTTTTATTTATTTATTATTGAAGCTCACAAAGGTACAACAAAAATGTCAAAAGTTTAAATTTAAAATTGCACTTATAATGAAACATATTATTAATTTTTTGTTCATTATTGTATTTCAAACGTACTTTATCGAATGTAAAAATAACTTCGTCTTTAGAATATTAAGTGAATAATAAGTAGATGCTATTGATAAAAAAATAAACAAGTATTTTACCCTGGAGCACGATAAAACATTTAGAACTCTTAAAAATTATAAAATAAAAAAACAGTAGTATATATTTTATGTAAATATACTCCTTCAAAATACATCATTGTATAGAATTTTAAATAATGATTTTCTTTTTTCGCGTAAAAAATGTAACACATTACCTTATGAATTTATTTGTTTTTTCGGAACATTTTTGTTATATTTTATTTGAACAACTATTTATTAACAATATAGAAAATAATTAAAAGTTACAAAAAATAATGATACCATAGTTAATAATGTTTTCAATCCTACTTAGTTTTATTTAAATATAACTACAATTTATAGTTAACATACTATTGTTTTGTTTTTTTTTTTTCAGTAACTTCTCCGAGTTCCGGATGTCGATTGACGTGCAGTAACAAGTATTTGACAATGATCACTACTTTAGTCTTATTATGTAACGTATTCAGATAGTCGAATTCTGGAGCTTAAATTCTTAAGAATATTTTCTTAGGTTCATATTATTTTCATGTAAATAAGAATTGAAGTTGTAAAAAGGACTAAAACTTTATGGATACAAATAAATTGGTAAACAAGAATTGCAGCATAGTTAAAAATAAAACAACCTATGAAATATAAAAATATATATTTTTTTTTCCAAAATAAAGTAATGTCGATATTGTTAATTATTATCATTATTAATTATTTACATATTTTTTTATCTTACTAAGCTTTTGGATTAATGAAACATTAAAAATAAAAATAAAATATTAATATTTATTTACAATAAACATTTTCAAATATATGCGATAAATATTATTAAACGAATTCTTTAAAACACACACAAACATAAATCCTTAAATAATAACATTTTTTGTAAATACTAAATAATATGTTTAAATATTATATGATATCGTAAATTAATGATGGCATTACATTAAATATTTTTAAATCTGTAAAATCAGAAAAAAGTATTACATTTTAAACTTCAAATTGAATATGATTTTTTTTTTTCAAGCGATTGGAAATATTAAATCATCCATTTATCATAGAGCTAATTAGCCTCTTTTTTTCGCTTTGATGCTTGTTTGCACAGATTACACTTATTTTGATATTTGAGTTTGATAAATAATTAAAAGCTCTATACCATCATAATTTTTACCATGTAAAATCATAAATTATAATAGTGTGGATTATTTTAGCTGTTTAATGAAATCATTTTATTGATTTATAAGAAATTAACTAATTTGGAAATGTGTATAATATTGTTATTATTAAATAATATACTGTATTGGATGTATTTGTTAAAAGTTATATTTTAAAGTATAGGCAAGTTTATACGTTGATATACATTTAAATAATATTAAACAATAGTGTATTTATCTTTGGTTAAATTATGATTACTTTATACTTTTTTTTTTTTTTTGTTTGTTTACGTTGTCCGGGGTAAATGAAAATTGAGACATCGAAAATAAATGATGATATTGGTTTTTTATCTGTATTATTTGTTATACAGTGTTTATAAAAATATTTAGAAACAGTTTTATCATATCTATACTTTATATGCTAATAATAGTCAACAAAATCTCTAAGTTTTTTCTAAATATTTTTCACATATTTTTAAGTTATTATTACAGACAATTTTATTTTTATTTCCAGCTTACTTCGAATTTTAAAACAAGCACAGTACCTATATGATAATGCATTGTATACCAATTATGATTTTTGTAAACAAATCATTTTACATTTGCGTTGTAAAAATATAAATTATTTATTGTACTAACGATACTTATTATTATTTTATGAATATAAATATGTTTTAGTTTTTATAAACATATTTTATTAAATAAGTGATTACATAAATATAAAGAGTTTAAGTTACAAAACTGTAATAATATTTGTTTTTTATATATTTATTTGTTATAGAATTATTTCTATACATTTAAAAAAAAAAAGATAATTTTAAAACCAAAATGAATATTTAATTTAGTTTCGAGTTTCGAGGTATGATAATATCCTTTAAATTAAATTTTAAATTTTTCCTCGTATAACTATATATCAAATTTAATGATGAAAAAGTAAATTATCCAATTGAAATACATTTTAAACCATTTTCATTTATTAATATTTTACTAATTTTATAAAAACTAAACATTCCTAAGCTTAACAAAAATGTCTGTTTAATAAATAATAAAACGCTTGGGTATTCAAATAATCCTCAATTATTTTTATTTATTTTTCGACTCAAGCATTATAAAAATATTCAATTCCTTTCATTTATTGTAAAGCAGAACAAAGACCAAAAATAATAATAATTTACGATATTCAAACAAAGGACAGAAAAGGTTTACCCTGATGAACTTTAATACGGGTAAGTATCTACGAATGAACAAAAACGCTCTTTTATAAATATTAAATCTATAACCTGCGATAGACATTTTAAAAATGAATTGATTAATTTCCATTATAAAGGTTTATACTCGATATCTATACCTACATATTTATTCCCTGGAATTTGTTATTGACCACATCGGCTTCTTCCGGACTCAACGTAACAAAATATTTATTTTTCATAGAAAAATATTATAAAATTTGGTAAGTCGTTATTATCATTATTATAATTAATATTATTATTATTATAATTATTATTAGGTGGTTTATTATATTAATTATTAATAATTATTTGTGATCTATCATGTATTAATGTGTAAACAAATATAATAGGAAGAATAGCAAACTCTCTACGATCTACTACATTTTATAAATAAATTATAAATTATAAAATATAAAGTGTAATTGTGTATCAATATTACTTTATTGCACAGATACTTTTCCAAGTAAATTCGTACCGTATCGCGATTTCATTGCACCTTTGAAAAATGAAAGAAAAAATAATTTATAGACCCTTTAATATCAAATTAGACGTTACAGCAATGTATTGGTTGCAATTTTACCATTTGACAATATATTTGCATACATTTAAAAACATCAATTGTTAAACAACACAAATAGCTTTTCTTATCACTTTGTTGCGGCTATCACTTGACTTTAATATTGTCACTAGATCTAAATCGTTTCGGTGTTTGGACTCAGATTTTATCTTAACGATAAGGAATGTTAAACTTTTTGCGTATGTTAAGATATGTATACTAGTATTTGAACCATGACGATCATAATACTCGAACACACTCCAGACATACGGCATGTTATGTAATCAAACTTAAATGTTTTAACGGAGCAATGATATTAACTAACCTGACGTAAAAACTAATCATTTATTATAATTGATAGAACATGCTAATGTCCAACCTTCTTTAAAATTAACTAAAAACATACCATCATTTTGCGAATGAACCCAAACATTTGTTTTGATTCTTTAAATTTAACGTTAAGTTAAAATTAAATAAATTATAACTAAATTAAATTGAATCTAAGTTTAAACATAAAACATTTTTATTAGATTAAAAAGTTCGTATCATTAAACTGCGTTATTAAAATGATCAAACACGAACATATTACTTTATAAATTATATAGGTAGAATAAAAATTAGTATAAATTAAATATAAAGTAAAAATGTGATAACGCAAGATAGTTATATAATTATGTTACGAAATGTTATCTATACAGAGCTTTTTATTAAAGTTCAATGTAATAATTGATTTAAGGTTTTTTTTTCCATTTATCATAATTATACATAAAATAATACCTTAATAGAACTTTATCGTATTTCTCAACATAAATTATTAATCTATTAAGATAATAGTCGGTTAAGATAACCGTCATAAAATTATTATAGTCTATTCTGTAACACAGGATGATTTCTTAAGTACACTCAACCCTTTTCCTATGTTTATATAGACATTGAAATACTAAGAAAATGTGCAACGGAAAATAACGTATAATACTCTCAAATGCGGTATAGCCACAATATAATAACTAACATCACGAGAGTATATAAGTGCATTATGAAATGCCATGGGAACGTTTGAGACAAGAAGTTGTGTAAAACCGTTTTGAAAAAATGTTACAAAATATTATAACAGCATACTTAATGAACATTTTACTTGTGTAGAGACTACAGTATATTTATTGTTACTTGTGTAATGACTACCACTTTCACCCCGCGTATTATCTGTCGTTCGCTCCATTGATCTCTGGTGAACATTGTTCGCGAAAACCTACTGTTGTTGTACTACCAGCTCTAAAGCGGTGACATTAAGAAAACATGTTTCAAACCGAATTTCGGAACAAAATGAAAACTACGAGTTAATTGTATCAGATGTTTAACATCGACGTTTGTAGATAATATCGATTTAAGCATGAATAGAGAAATCAAGTACGAGCGTTTATCGCATTCGGTTCCATCGATTTTGCACAATTTTCGGTTAAAATCAGCAAACAGTTTTCTACTTATCCGATGTAATTATCATAAAAACTTCGCGGCGCTGTTAATAAACGCTTATGGTTGAATTCATATGAATTATTTGTTTTAGTTAAGTTTCAGTTGGGCTAAATAAAACTACTCCAAACAGGAGAAAAGTACTATGTAAATTCCAAAGGTACGTCAATCTAATGTAAATTATGTATACAACTGGAAGCATCAAGACACACAAACTTTGTTTGTAATTAGTATGGCAGCACTCTGGTTTTTATTGCTTTCGTATTTCAAACGAGTTACACGGGGTCGTGTCGCAAACTTCTTAAAGCCGAAAAGGCTTCAATGATAAAATTCGTCAAGGCGGTAGATAGGTTGTAATTATAATGCACTTGTTTGACTCGTAGAAATTTCCAACGTATTATATATATATTGTTTTTTTTTTTCGTGAACTTGTGCATTACTCGTATGTTAATTCGATGCCGTTACGTAGATCGACGAACAGCCGCGTCTCCTACTATTATTTCGTGTACTAAGATGTTTCATTTTTACGAACCACAGGTTTTGCTGTGATACATAACATTTATGGCATGTTATTGAGATAACACGTGACAGTGGCGAGAATAAGTGTCGTTATTGTTTTCAACTTTTAATGGAATGAAACTATCAGAAAATTTCAAAAAGAATTTAAAAAAAATATATATAATAATAATAATAAACGCATAAATCGTTTCAACATAACAACAACGTTTAGGAATATTTGACATCAAAGCTAATTAATTCACACGAGTGGAACAAAGTCGAGTAGTAACCTAAGAGAAAAGCAAAACAAAAATACATGTGAAGTTTCATCACACTCTCCCCCACCCGTTAAATGTTTTTGAATTTGCATCCAACGTCATTAAAGTTAACTTTAACATTGTCAAACGTTATTACAGTGAAAACTGTTAAAAAATTATAATCATATTTGTGAGAAAGTAATCGTTTTGATTTTATTAAATATTTAATTGTCTACAAAGTAGAATGATCATAACGATACCTACAGTTTAAAAATGTATCGTTACCACAAACATATTTCCATAGCGTATATTTAACCACGGGACATTTTCGAAACCACGAGATTTTACATAATGTCATAATAGGACTGATGGAAAAATACCGTTTTCAAAAACGTATTACTAGCTGTTTTATTATTAAGGTATTCAAAAGCGGACAAAGCACGTAGTATGATATCCACTTAGAATATGGTTTATCGTTATAGCATATGTGAATATAAATATTTCGAGGAGAACAATT